GGCAGTTCCCCCATCTGACAATCGACTCTGTGTACTAGCCCTGCCCTTTGATGTATATCTGCCTCCCTTTAGGGCAAAGTGTGTTAATAAATAGCAAGGGGTCCTGAGACAAGGAGCACTTAGTTTCTTTAGCTAAGTCTTCTCTGATCCCCAAAATGCCTTCCAAAATCATGTTTCGTCTCTGGACTCTTGATTAATTTACACACAGCGCCTTCTCCAGATTTCTGAACCCTTCTAGCTGCTGCATTAAGACCACCAGCGGGGACCCCCTCCTGGAGGCCAGCCCGCACCTGGCTGAGGAGGACACCACCTGCTGTGCTGGGGGCTTGGGACCACCCGCGTCTCCCCACCGGGCTCCTGACGTGCCGACCTCCCCCCTCCTGACCCAGCGTGTGAGGCCCTGGCCCAGGGCGCTCCTGCCCCCACCCGCCGCCCCGGGCCCTGAGCTCAGCTGCAGGACGGGCCTCAGCCTCCTCCTGGCCTGGGACTGGGACGGGGTCAAGTCTGCGCATCACATGACTCACAGTCTGGGAAGCGATTTCCAACTGGCAATTTCATATGTTTAAAATTTTTTATTATCAATAAAATAACTTGGACAAGATGCCTTGAGGGCAGGTCAATCTCCGGTTCCGGTCAGACTTTGGGAGAAACCCTGAGACGTGAGGCTCCTGGAGCTGAGCGAGTTTGGGGAGAGACCTCAGCCTGTGAGCACGTTCCATTTCTCACCTGCATTTACCAACTGATTTTCCCCTCTGACCAACACCACTCACTGGAAGGAGGCACTGTCCTCAGGTATCATTCACTCACTCACCCATTCACTCATCCATCCATTCACCCACTCACTCATTCGTTCATCCATCCACTCATTCATCCTTTCATTCACTCATCTATCCATTCACCTATTCATTCATTTTCTCATTCATTCATCCATCCACTCACTCCCTCATCCATCTATTCACTCGTTCATCCATTCATTCACCCATCCATTTACTCATTCTTCTTTCCATTCATTCACTTACTCACTCTCTCATTCCTTCATCCTTCCATTCACTCACACTTTCATTCACTCATCCATCCATCCATCCATCCATCCATCCATCCATCCATCCATCGTGCACTCCATCCATCCATCCATCCATCCATCCATCCATCCATCCATCCATCCATCCATCCATCCATCCATCCATCCATCCATCCATCCATCCATCCATCCATCCATCCATCCATCCATCCATCCCTGTGTCCGTGTCCCTCATTCCACGGCGCTTCCCTAATTCCCGCCGAGGGGCCTGTGCCGCCTCCACAGTGTGAGCAGGAGGCGGAGGTGAAGGCCCAGGCCTCTGAGGGTCAGAAATGAGCGTTGGGTCTGAGCACCATTTGCACCTGTGCCCCGGCCCTGTCTCTCTGAGTCCCCACTTCCCTGTCTGTGGAATGGGGGCAGGAATGACCCAGCCAGCCCCCTGCAGGAAGGTGGGTGTAAGTGCACAAGGTGGGGAACCCCTCTAGGTGCTCAGGGGTGACAGTGCCCCTCCCGCACCCCCAGGGGCCCAGAGTTCCCATGAGAGGCTCCCTCTGGAATGTGTGGGTGCAAACAGCTCCCCCAGGCAGAGGGGACACAGGTCACTGAGGCTCAGAGGGCTCTGCCCGCGTGGGGAGAGATGCAGGTCAGCTCTCTGGGGGTCAGAGCGACCGGGAGTGAGATCAGCTTTGGGGGCCCAGCTCAGCAGAGCAGTTCTCTGGCCCCTCCCGCCTGGCCCCTCTCCGGGCACTGAGAGCCCAGCCAGAGCCCTTCCCCCTCTGGCCTGTGTGGCGGTTGGAGAAACTGCAAAACAAGATCAGTTTCACTTTCTCTTTGGGAGCAGTTGGCCTGCCTCCTCGCCTGTCTCCTTCATCTCTGCTCCCGTGGGTTCTGCTGTCCTTCTGTCCTGTCGTCCGTCTGTCCTGCCATCCACCTGTCCTACCGGCCTGAGTCTCGAGGCCGCGGTCAGGGAATGAGGGTCCCTGGGTCGGGCATGGAGCCTCTGCCTGGCTGGGGGCCACCCCCCTGGAGCCCGACGCCCAAGGCTGACGTCCTGAGGCTGGTGAGTCAGGGACAGTGTCCTCTAACAAAGGAAGTATTTCCGGCTCCCAGGCCGGGGAGAGGCCTGGGCAACAATGTGGTCGACTTGCATTTGAATCCTCCACGCCTCCAGCAAACCTGCTGTCACACGGTTCAGGCTGTTCTAGCGCTGATCCAGACTTCCCTTAAGGAGGAGGAGTACCGGCCCTGCAGGATTGAGTTTGTTCCCTTTAAACATGTGCTGTTACTGTTGTTAAGGGTTCAATCAGCGAGATAGACCACCGACTCAGAATTTAAATTTAGGAGCCTTTATTAAGCTGGCCAGCTGACTACTGTACGTCCCTCCTGTAGGGAACCTCATACTGCAGTGCTGACCGAGGGTACAGCAAAGCCTTTTATCTGCAACACTACAAAGCATTTCCTGGCACTGGCAGGGTTCACACAAAGTTTACAAGTAGGAATGGGGAGGTAAACGGAGTCACACCTGGCTGGGTTGAATCATAATACATTGTTTTCTGAAACAATCTAGCCATTTTTCTCTGTCACGATCTCGGACCCTAATACAATCGGTAACCTTTCCATACCACAGTCCCTCCCCCTCGCACATTCCATAACCTTTCATGCCGCAGTCCCTCACCCTAGCACATTCCCTACTGGTCTTATGCCCGAATCAAATCTTTGATTCAGCACCCTCCTCTATGATATGAAATTGAGGAGGCATTTGGCAATGTAGGGGTCGAGCCGCCGGGGAAGAGTCCGGCATTTGATGGTGAAGAATTAGCCAGGGTCTCGGCCGCTGACATAGAGTCTTAGTCCCCAAGTCCTTCTCCTTCCCATTGGTTAGTCCACCAGGCGAGAGGCATGAGGAGGACGGGGTTACAATTTCCAGTGCCTCTTTCCTGCGACTTTGATGGCGGTTGGAGTGCTCAGCATCACCTGGTAGGGTCCATCCCATCTAGGTTACAGGCTGCTAGGGTCGTGGCGCTTCACCCAGACGAGACCACCCGGAGAGAAGGCAGGCTGTGTTGGAATGGACCTCAGCACGCCCTCCTCCCGTATGGCTCTCAC